ATATACTCGCACAGTAATTCAATTAACATAAAATAAAGTTCTGTTCCGGCATTTAATCTAACACATATGTAGGGTTTTGTTTTTTATCAATTCTAAAAAAAAACATCGTGTTTTAAAACGAGGGCTTGTTTTAAATCAATTTTTTTCTGTATTTTTTATTGAAATACCCCTTGCATCGCCGCTAAACTACGCCAAAACGTTGCGTTCTAAAGGTTACGTTGCGTCCAAAAGGTTACGTCTTACTGTGCCAACCACGTTTGCGGTCGCACTGAACTACAGCTTGAGAAGGTGTGTATGGGCCTTTATCGATATTTGTAGCGTTCGAAGGATTTATTGCAAATATGAAGCGCTTGGCAATTTTCTACATCCATTTTCCTTCAACCTATTTAATACAAAAAAAATCAAATAGTACCGCCATTTTGACAAAAAATACTTGATGTTAATTGTTTTAAAACAATTCTTTTTGAACAAATCCGTACAGATATTTACAGCTTCGAGAACGCAGATCAATAACATACAATGGAGCTATGAAGGTGAAACTGAAAAATGCCTATTTTTCCATTTGCGCGATGCTTGGGTCTACATCGCAAGCATTTAATTATATATAATTGAGTGAGTGCGAGCGTGAGTGACTATTTTAAGGACACAGAGTTGTAAGCGAGCTGATTTTAACCCATATACCTTACTAGAATCTGAATTCACAATTCCGAGCGCAATCCAGGGTTAAAATTGATGTATTTGTAAAATTTAATGAGATTGGTAAAATTATCTAATAATGTAAACAAATCTATATAGGGGATTCCAAATCCCAATACGTGTTAATTAGTTATATTTGAAAAATATGTTTATTTTCCAGTTGAACTAAATCCAATCCTGTACAGAGACTCGGCTCAACTTACAACTCGGTGTCGATAGTACGAAATAAACTTATTGTCTAGGTAGTATTAGATTTATGCATTTATCCCACTAGTAACGGAAAACTTCTTCAGTCTCCACCTTTGGTCCAGCAAAGTAGTAATTCACCCTATACGTATATTCGTAGTTGTTGGGGAATCTGCTATTTCAATGAAGTACTTACCTCGTGGTGCTGAACGTTTTCAACGTCGTCAAATGCATCAACCATCTAGCTAAAGACTATTAAAATATTTGGTAAATATAAATGATAACATTGTAATGTAATTCGTAAACCTGTTTGGTACATATATGGTTCCATGTTACGTAATTTACTAATTTGAAAGCAGCCAAATGCTATGCTAATAAGTGACTTTTTGTCGCGATGGGCTCGGTGATTAGTGCGTTCACATAACTACGTCGGTATTGTATTCGCATTAATAAAGATCTCGAACAACGGCTAATCCTTTGCTCAACCTGAGCTCACCAACAGTGCAAAGGTTACTCCCTACGGTTAAGTAATACTTCGCTTGTACAAAGTCTGGTCGGTACAGGGGTGAGAAACACCGAATCCAAATTAATGGGTAATTTATTTATAAAAGTCATTCAAATCATATTCTAAATTCACGTATTGTACATTATTTTAACAATTGATTCACATTACAAAATCGTGCGTAAATTTTGCAGATGAGAAAACAATATTTAACGCAACGTGTTGTAGCAATTTTCGTTGAAATTCCCGAATTATTATTCCTAATTTTTGGGCGATATTCATCAATCTTTTCATTTATTTTGTACAAAAAAAGCAATAACAAAACATCATTTGTAAATGTTTTCAAAGATCAAATCCCAGCATACAACATTTATTCAATCAACAGTGTTTCCAACGACATGGTGGTTTCACCTTGAGGCTCATGACTAGTCTGACTAGTTACGGAAATGCTATTGTTTGAATAATGTTCCTACTAATATCAGTTCAACGAATAAATTTGGTTGTATTTCTTATTCTATATCGGTGAGACCCTTGCTGATGCATTTTCGCTGATAAAGTTTTTACATTGGTTTATATTTTGTAACTTTCAAAGAAATACACGAATTATTGGTTTCATCAATCAGATTACTGCTGTTACGAGACTTAATAAAGTTCATAACTGAGAACAGAGATTCACAAGTAGATGGAAACAAGGAGAGTAATGCAGTTGTGAAGTTTTTCACACACGAAAAATTTTCGGGAATGGCATCCCAACACGCTATAGTTCGTTTTATGCACTTCTCCCCTGTATTCCCTTCCCTGATCCCATTTTTGGTATATTCTGGCATCGCCAAGTAAACGACCTTTTTTGCTGATGATCCTGACATCATAAAACACTGTAAAATCTGTAGACTAAGGGCAAACAAGAAACGTACCCAAACTCTTTACTGAAAAACAAGAGGTAGTACTAAAATTAAGGTTGCCAACCGTCCTTTATTTCAAAGGACAATCTATTAATTAAGCTTTTCGGCCCTTGTTCTTTTTAGAATTTGGGAAAGATGCTACTCGTCCTGTATTCTTTCCAACGTCGTTTTGACCGATAGTTATAGTACTGTGTTAGATATTGTTCCGTTCTTAAAAAATCGTACTGTCAATTAAAAAATCCGTTCATGTATTTGCGAGCTTTTAATTATTCTTTTTAATTTGCTTTGGTCCGGCTCAAATAGCCAAAGAAATAACAATTTTATTAACATTTCAAATATTTTATATTAATTTTCCAAAAATGGCAACACTATAAGATTTGAGTAAATTTTAGTTCAATACTTTAAAATTCTACGTATAATTGGTCTCTATGACGTCCACAATCCAACAATGCTATTTTTGTGAATGCTTGTGTAATCATAGTATGTTATCGAATTATCTATGCTAGAACTAAAACCGGCGAGATATAAATACGCTCGCTAGGAAGCTGATATTTGCTGTAGAGCAGTGTGAAGTCTAAGTTGTTTAGCGCACTGTTGCTCGAGGTAGTTCTTTTATTATCAAAATTATCTCTTTTGGATAATATTTTTCCAAAATATCCGACAGTTGTAAAAATTGTAGAGCATTTGAAGCTAAAACACAAACTTAATTTGAATATGGATGACCAAAAACATTTTGGCACGATTCAAAGCACTAAACTGTTTACAAAATGCCAAACAACAAGCAGTAAATGGCACTTTATTTTGAAACGTTTTAATCTTAAGTGTGTTATTGCTTTCAGAATATTTCATTTGCGCTCTCAATTCCTGTAACCTCAGCTTATTGTGAACGCATCTGTAGTGTAATGTCATCTAAATGGCGCAGTAAAAGGAACAGATGCTCCATACAACTAATGAAAAGTGAGCTTTTAAGAAATATAATTTTATGCAACTGCAAAATTAGAGCTTGTTTGAGTCAATGTGTTAAATAAAATAAATGAAAAACACATGAAGAATTTTTTAATATATCTTTTTACCTTGTATACAATTTTTATTTCATCGTTTTATATTGTTTTTTTCATGCAAGTTACGAAACAAATGATAACGGTAATCTATGTCCTTTATTGAAACTTTCCATAGTTGGCAGCCCTAACTAAAATACTGCTGTCATTAAAATTTAATAAACTTTTACCCATCTGATGCCACTTATATTTCTTTCGAAATTAATTTATAACAGTAAGTTAGCACGCAACTCTAACCAACATGCGCTGTGCAATTTCATCAATCAAGCAGAAATGAAGAAAAAGGTAAGAATGTAGCCCAATGAATGCTGCGCTCTTCTCAACAAAATTTGTCGGGTTCTCACTCAGTTGTTACGTTATTGGACACGTAGTGGACATAACGATCGTTTCAAAATTTTGTTGTTATTGTTATTATTTGTCTCCGTCAACACGTTTTGAAGAAATCGCTTTTCTCTTCGAATACTGGACCAATTGCTTTGAAATTTTCAGTGGTTAAAGATAAAAAAAAATTCCAGAAGGCTATTACTTTTTTTTCGCTATGACGTCATCAAAATTATGTGACTTTACGTGTCCATATATTTGAGCATAGCTCTCTTGCAATATATATCTTTGTAGTCATATGTCATAAAGGTGAAACGAGATAGCGATCAGAGATCGCAGACTCATCGATCTAGCGGCGTGTATCTTTCGCTCTGACTCAATAGTGACACCGCGTGTCCCATCACTAATTAATACCTCGCTAATTATACAACCTAATTCATCCAAAATCAATAGGCTTCTGATCCGAGATATGATGAATGGATTCAACCTCGCTTTCGTGAGATATCGCGTGTATCTAACAGACAGACAAGTACCTATCAACGTACTTGCAGATCAAGATCGATAAGTAAAAAGTATGAATAGATAACGGATTGTTAACAAACTATATAAAATAAACCAACACCGAGTTTCATCAGCTAATTCAGAGTCTCGAAACTTTTTATCTGAAGGAGAATGATCTCATTTCGGAGGCTTCACTCGCGTGATGAATAAATGGGCTCGCGTGCCACGCGTTACCCACTCCCGGTCTATAGGTTTCCATTTTTTACATGTATTTACGCTTAAAACTCTTAATTGGGCAAGCCTTTATTAACAAAGCGATATCATTTTCCACTTTGTAAGTGCTTCATGAGAGTCGCAATGATTAAGTTCTTGTATCAATCTAACTCATCGTTCAACAAATTCAGATATACCAAATAAAAGCCTGAACTTTCTATTCGCCTAATATTTAGTTTTTTTAATCACACAGTGGGAGTCAATAACAGATTGGTGATCACCAACCCAGAATTCTACCGAATTCACTCTTTCTAATAACTGTTAACACGAGATAACCCAGCTGGCTTATTTTGACCGGTATTAGAGTCGTGTCGTCATTTACAGGTTGAAAGTCAAAAATTTAAAAGTTAAAATTTTGTTAGCAAGATGAATATTTTGTCAGGGCAGCAAGCGACAAAGTGTAGTACACACAATTTGACAAATTCAGGCGGGCGGTGCCAGTGATTTATCATCACACCCCCGAAGACCTCATAGTAATCGATTACCTATTAAAACCAATGCAATATGTGCTCTTAATAACAAAACCAAGCAAGAACTTTTTGCAGAAATGAATCAACGAACTGAAATTATCTTGACTCGTTTTATTATTACATTGTATCTTCTCATGCCAGGTCACATAACGCCACTGACGTGACGACGATATGCCTTGTAGGAAATTTGATGATTGATCATGCTAAACCAAGCATGGGGCGATGACTAGTAATGTAGTGAGACCTAACTTATTACCACCCCATGTGTGATATAATAAGATACAGGCATCAAATTTCCTGTTGGCTGGCCTGATCAAATCATTCTAAATTCAACATTAGTAAATAGAATAATATCGATAAAAAGAATAAGAATAACAATAATAAGAACAATTTTTAAAACGGTAAGAATTAATATTAGCAATATTATTGAGAATGTATGGATCAATAGTAATTAGAAATTATGAAAGATGAGAAACGTTATGAATCAGCAAGGTCCGAATTGTCAAATTAATAAAATTCATCAGGATATGAAGCCCAATCACCAAAGTGCATTGCATCTTCATTATATCCCAGGCAAGCAAATTGTCTCAGCTAAGAAATTCAGAAAAGTGAAAATTGCCTATGTTTATGGGTTGCTAATGAAGATCATGAAATATCAAACAAAACATTTCAATGACCTTTCATCAAAAGGGTAAAATATTCTGTAAATTTGAAGATAAGCGAAACTTGCCAGCTAGCGAAATAATTCCATGTACACACAATGCTCATTATGTATTTTGTGTTCAAACATATCCATGATCAAAAACATAGGAGGTTGTGATTTGGAAATTGGATAAAATTGAATGATGATGACAACAAAACAAATCAGGTACCGAATAAAATCAAAGAATTATATTGTTTTTGAAATAAACCATCTTATATTCTAAGAGCATGAAGAACAGAATGGGCGTAAAAATCTTGATGTGAAAGACCAGGATAAATAATAAAAGGTCTGAGCAAAAATTAACATCAAGGTAGTAACAACGCATATTACTTAAAACATCAAATAATTACCAAATGGTGGTAAGAGTATAGTAGGCCACCACATTTTCATAAAATGAGACAAAAAGAAACACAATTAAACATGAACTCGCACAATACTTAATTAAGATGAAAGGCCGCAAGATATCAAAAAGTTTAAGGGCAAAAATTATCCCATCCCATATCACACTAAAAATTTATGATAAAAACACTTCTCACAATCAGAAAATATGAAATTTTTACATTCCATTTGGAAATTGGGGATCTAAATACATGTTACTTGATATCATCACACGCATTCCAGGTTCAACCAATGAAATACAAGTAGGAGTGAATTATGTTGACCAAGGACTGGGTACCGTATTCCAACAAATCTTCAACTTCATAAAATCTTAGTTTCAGCAAAAAAAATAAAACTAGACAAGGGTGTGCTTCGCATGTGATCATATTATCAGCAGAAAATGTTTCCGTTTATAAATAAAGCAGCAGAGATACAGCTGGGCACAAAAAAGTACAAAGAGCGCAAAAATCATCTCGCGTAGTAACATATATAACCTAATAATTTATGAAATGAGCCTCTGTCAAACTGTTGCTAAGATATCCGATTGCTTCAACCAGACCAATTGGGCAAGAAAAATAAATTGAAAGATAATGCTGCATTGTTGAAGTACCTCTGACTCTTCATTATATATTATTGAAGTCGATCCAATTCTCAGTTTTTACTTTTTATACAAGACAATCATTCGTACATAAAGCTTACTTGAGAAAATTAACTTTGAATACATAATTTTTAAGTAAAAATATATTTTTAATGTGTTTAAAAGGATTTCAGGTAACATTTACAGTATCTACTAGCTTGCTAAAGCATTCGCAAAATCAGGACATCCAGATCCTCAGAGCATAAATAATGATTTTCTTTTTAAAGTATAATCGCCAGATTGCCTGACATGCAGTGCCATCCAAATTGTACAGAGATGAACATTTTCTATTATTCATGAATCTAGAAAAGTAACAATAATTGTTTCTAAGTATCAGTTACAAGTATTATCATAGATTATGATCAAACAATAATGCCGAAGTTTGGAGAGTCAAACCATGCCATGTCATCATATTTTTTTTGCTTTAGAACTTTCATATTTGATCAAATGAGATTTGTTTATTTAGTTTTGTACAGAAAAATGATCATGTTGCGCAATAGATCAGAACATTCCAAGGCCCTGAATGGGATAGATTTCTGTGGGACAACTATAAATTCTACTCATTCCCAAAAGAGATATCACAAATAATCAGTACCTAAAGTTAAAAGCACAAAAGCCAAATAAAAATTCGTTCTTAAAAAACCATGGTATAGTTAGATTAATTTTTATACAAATGGCATTCAACATCCTTCTAATATATGGATAAGAAGAGCAAAAACGTTCCATACTTGTCTTGATAGTAATTTTAGGAAGGGATGTTCTCATTGGGCATGAAGACGATATTACATTTCGGCAGTCAAATGGAACGTTGCTGCACTTTCTTCATACCAAGAAATGCCACAATGATCACTTTGATTGTCTAGTCTAGTATGTGATATCTGTGCATGTTACTGCATAATGGTTAAAATATTTGATATAGCCTAGCCCACAACTTTAAAAATGCAGCAATGCTTGATAAAATAAATCTTAAGTGGAATAAAAAAGCAGTTTAATTAAAGTTGTAGTTCTTGGATTTTAAAATGGTAGATGAGTTATCACAAATAATAACATTCTCGTAAAACCAATGCAACATGGATTCACAACATTTACAGCATGCCAGTTAACTGCGATCATGCACAGTTGAATAGGTAATGTCAATAAAATTCTTGTATCATAAAACATGGCGGCATTATGGCAGAATCCATCATAAATAAGAGTATTATGCTATCTTAACAGAATCTCAGGAATGGTTGCATTCACGTGATCTGTGTCACAATGACACGGAAAAAAACATGATAGTGAGAAGAACATCATCCTGTTTTATCCGCACCATCGCCGCCTGTCGCGTCAGTCATCAATCGTGGTCTCAGTCCAGAAAGACAAACCAATAGCCGCTATGGCTTAGTCCAGGCTTATACTAAATTGTACTCTCTTAGATTGGACTGGAGAATTGTGTCCCTAACTGCTGCGAACACAAATTTAATATTTTCTGTATCTGTTGCACATGTGAAGTGACTGTAAACAATCTTGTCCTGGTCTGGATTGAGTTCCACAAACCTTGTCAAGATGAACTCCCGTGCGGCAATGGCATCTTGCCTTGGGCCTGCAATACAGAGAAATATTTTCATTATTCAACAGTCTTATAAATATTTTACAGGATCGAAACACCATGGAAATATTGGGGAAGCTGTAATGACAGACAAAAAATAAAAAGACCTAGAATGTGTAATGATGAAGAAATACCGAAAAACGACACGAGTTTTACGATGCAAGAGAAAATATTCGAAACCAAAGCGAGCGTATACATGAATTTTGCTAAATAAACAGAAAGACCCACAAATATTTTATTAGATATTTGTTCAATATGCTAGTACCAACAATATTGTCTGCAGAATAAAATAAATGCCAATTTCCATTCCAATATTGGCAATTCCCATTTTGAATGTTAAACTACATACTAGTCATTTCTGCACATTGTAGCATCACATTGCCATTGCAACAAACAATGCTCTTCAAAGTTACGAAGATTGAAATAAAAATGGCTGAGCGAGAAGATCCTAACCAGTTTGGGATAATTCTTCATAAATTCATACCATATAAATCTATAACATAATATTATTGAAAAGAAGGCGACTTCATGGCAATATTTTCAGTTAAAAACGATAACCAATTTCAAATATATTCTTAATTTACAAATATGGAAGCTAAAAGAAATTGGATAAAATAAGTTTGCTTGAAATATATATATATATATATAAGGACTCAGTCCTGATTTTTTAAGTGTTAAGGGTTTTTAATGCGCTTGCGCCATTTTTCAGTGCAGTGAGACATGAATCGAAATATTTTATGTTATCCATTGTTTTGGGCAGAATTTCCTAATTTTCCAATAAAGGATACTTAATATGCATTTTCATGGTTGCGCAACTGTATCATTAGCCAGCAAGTTATAAATTCTTGACCAGAAATTACATGATATGTATTTCGACATCACTTCCGATAAGAAAAAATATTTCCTATAGTCTTATAATAAGCTACGTTGTTGTGCAAGGTTTCCTGAAATCAATATTGATTGATGACACCGCATGTAAAGTAATAAAAGGTCATACCACTAGACTTGTGTTTCTGGAAGTATCTGGTACAATAGTGGCGAGATAAGTTTTAAAAGATTGTTGGGATAATTTTAACAATTAATTAAAAATGGACAAAGTATTGAAGAATGTCCGTGTAACATATAACACATTTTATATATTTTTTATAAAGGTCTATAAACAACTTTGAAATAAAAAAAACAATGATGAATAGATATTAATTAACTACGATAAAAAAAATGTATTGTATTGTTTATTCAAAATATTTGCTTATCTGGATGTTCAAAAAATTTCAAATATATTGATATCTAAGACCACACAGTGGTTTTAAAACAGCCAATGAAGTAATTTAAATTTCGTTACTGAATTTTCACAGCAAGGTCATACCATGCCTTCATATGAAAGTGAAACTGGGAATTCCATTAATTATAAATAGTTGGTTTTGGTTATGATAGTATAAATTGGTATCACAAAATCAGTTAGTTGCGAAGAGCAAAAGGTTTTTAACAGAAGTTTACTAAAGTTTATGTGCACTACAAGAAGCAACATACCGATTCTATGGTGACATAGCCCCATCAATTACAATGCCACAAACTAATATTTGGCGAATATATACTTTGATAATTAATTCAACAACTTGAAAATGATTAAATTTAACGATAAAATGAATAATATAACAGAAATGTAAAAAGATCAATGTTGTACCTAATTATGAAATAATACTATTATTCAAAAATTGAATTCAGGACTGGACTTGAGTTAAAGTAAAATATGTTTGTAAAGTATACAGCAGTGTAGGGTACAGAAATACTGGTGTAACTATTATGTTTGGTCAATCGCTGCGTGGGAGGGAAAGTTAAAACATAGTCATTCAAGTGTTAAGTATTTCAAGTATTTGCTGTTCAATATGATACAACAAACAAAAAAATGGGATTGTCGGTGTAACTATTTGCCGTATCCATTCAGGTGTGTCGTCATGGTCCAAAAAACCCAAGATATGGAAACAAGATGCTATCGAATCTTAATAACGTTTCAGTTCGATATTTGTATTACCCCATCACAGCAAAGGAATAAAACCTGAACTGTCGGTATGAATAGCAACACCATGACACTTAAGAGAAAATATATTAATTACGAATACTTTTAATCAATAAAACAGTGGGGATGGCCAATAGATTAATTTAAACAAAATTCACTCCCAGAGTATTTTGGAAATTAGAATTTTTGAAATTTCTATTGTAACAAAATAAAATAGAAAATTCAAAATAAGCCAAAATGAAATTGAAAAAGAATTATGATTACTTATAATGGTCTATTTGCATGATTAGCAATTATGAATAATTTCTTAACAAGCAACTTTAATAATAATGTATCTAGCAACCCCCACAAGAGGACAACTTTTCGAGAGGGACGTGAAGCTTATTTAAAATAAAAAATATTGTTAGGTTTGATCTTGCCCACGTTATTTTGGATATTTACATTTCAAAACCTTCCATTATTTATGTTCCATCCACGTATTTTCGATGTGTTTTTGAATAAAACATACTTTCGCCTTACTATTTGTTATATGTAGCTTATTGTTAGCTAGTTATTTTGAGGTGGGGCGCGAGACTTGACAAATTCTAAAAAGCGGGCGCGGCTTAAAAAAGTTTGAAAACCACTGGTCTAAACAATAACAAATTCTATGTTTATATTTTTGAAATACAGATAGGAATATTCACCATCATGTGAAATAAGCATGCTTGATAAATTGGGGGTTTCGAAACACATTTTGAAATTTTTGGAAAACTAAAAAAGTTGATAATAATGCATGTGATTGCATTTTGCTAAAGTCATGGATTGTTTTAGTCAGTGTGACGTGTTATTTAGACCGTAAACATCTTTACGTCAACAACGATGATAATTACTTTATTTTTATACTCGAACAGAATTGTGAATCTGATGAGAGTTATTATACATTCATCGGCAACGAGATGCTACTAAAGACGAATAAGGAGTGAATGAATTCGCACATGAATTTTTTGATTGAAAAGCAGAAAAATAAAATACTAAAAATAAAGCCGTAAACAATATAAGCCAGATTAAAAACGCTTCTTTAGGCATTGTAAATCGCACACATTATGTCTGCTCAGTGTTGGTAACCACACTATCACTAAAATCGAAACATCAATTGCATGCGGGATTTAACTTTTTATCCATTACTTTAAATTGCCGTCGAAAATTTCATGTTAATAATATTACATAAAGTTGGAAACGCGACTTTCTCCCGAGAGTAATGATATATCAGATATTTAATTGAAGTTTATTCAAATCAATTTTTATTGGACCAAAACAAGTTATAATCAACAGATTACCATTTTTGTGTCCACGGATTGCCGTGGTATTTTAGAGCAGTAATGCTTTTAATTTGTCGACGCAACCACAGATTAAATTGAGGACAATTAAATTAATAAAGCAAGACATTTTGAATATGCCCGTATCTGTAAAGGGTTGATTACTTTGCACAACAGAAAAATCTTTATTATCCCTTGAAAAAATCGTTCAGTGGTGATTTTGAGGCGATGAATATGTATTTTTGATTTACTCATATACTTTATATGTATTTAATTGTACTAGATTGAATTGTAGTCAACAGGATTTTATATCAAATCTTGAGATTTTTCTAACAGCAAATTATCAAAACTAAATACAATAAGGAAGTTTATCGCATATTCTTATGCAACAGATTGATTGATATTTTAGAAGGGTCATGTTTTTATTTTGACGCAAGAAGATGCAACCTTGAGTTACGTTGGACACAATTAAATTAATATAGAAGGAAATTTTAGATTCTCAGCTGTCATGAATTGAATATTTTACACGACAGAGAAGTCGGTATGCGCTGAAAAAGTCGGCTCTTCTAACGAGCACGTAACTGCGGCAACTGTTTCATAATATGAAAATGGGAATTTCCAATTTTGAACCCCCCTTTTGAAAATCCTAGCTGCACGCCTGTATAGCATGTACTTATTTATCAAAATAAGAATATCTTACTCAGAAATAGTATAACAATACAAATAAACTTATTTGACTTGAACGTAATGCTGCACAGCATAAACCAGTGAGCATATTTAAACATCATTATTAATATAATATACTTCAATATAACATCATTCAGAACATCTGTAATTCTGACTCGTTATGTCTACGGAAATAAACTAACTTGCTAAGTTGGCATCATTTGACCCAGCCTAAAATTTGTGTAAATAAAAAGAGCAGGATTGGCGAAAGGAAATAGCACCAAATCACTATTTATTGCGACACATTGAGTGTATAATCGTAGATAAAAATGGATAGAACAATGTGCAGTAGCAACTACAATTTAATAGTGCATTCATGGATGAATAACTATGGATAATGAAAGAATGACACACATCATAAACACATCTATGTCAATTGCCAAGGAAACAAGAAACACCCTCTATAATTATGTCAACAAGCCCATCAATCAATCAATCAAGTGATATCAGAGAGGGCCAACACAAGTTGACTCTGACATTTCAAAAAGAAAACTTGTGCTAGTACTCTACAAGGTAGATCTAAATTTTTGAGTCTTCATAGTTCATAACCTACCTTCAAAATCTGGAAAATAATCTGCCAGATCAGAAACCATGATTTTTTCTTCTAATAAATCTTTTTTGTTCAAAAACAAAATAACTGACGATTGTTGGAACCATGGATACATGATGATAGTCTTGAATAAAGCTTTACTCTCTTCCATTCGGTTCTAGAAAAATATGTTAGAAAATGCTAAATCAGTTATTATTATCTGAATCAGTGGTTCTCAAATGGTGAGGCGCGGCCCACAAGGGCGCGTAGACAATTTTTTGACTGGACTTGAAGTTAATTGATAAAAATATTTGTTAGATTTGATCCTGCCCGCCTTATTTGTTTTTAAAAATTTTCATTTATGTTATTATTCACGTTCCATCCATGTATTTAATAAAACAAACTTTTGCCTTACTATCTGTTATTTGTAGCTTATTGTTAACTTGTTAATTTTGAGACAGGGTGCGAAACTTAACAAATTCTGAAAAGGAGGAGCGGCTTAAAACGTTTGAGAACCACCATGCTCAATCAATATCATACATTCAGACATGTTTTCACTAGTTTGCAAATTATTCAAAAAAGGGCATTATTCCGAATATAAAATTGTCCACTTATAATATACATCCATAATTTTATAGTAATTGTATACATTTAATGGAGTCTTGCAATTATATCGTATTAGAATTAAGAAAAGTCGATGAATAAAGTGGTCTATTTGCTAAAGTAAAACATAAAATACAGATATTTCAGACGAGTCAGCAATTACAATTTCAAATACCAGGCTGATCTGGATGAAAGGCTTAGAAATTAAAAAAGTATATTTATATAGTTTTCACAAGTCACGTAACAGAAATATCATCTAAACTCATATGATAGTGCATTACTGCAATGCTTACATGACTGCTAAAGGGTCATATCAATTCAATTGATACCGAATGCAAGCAATGAGGAAATATCATGTCGGTACATTGCATCAAGACGCCATGTTTATTTTTAGCATTTTGGAACAACGCCCAACTTTAAAATGATACATGAAGAATAAAACCATTGTTTTGAAAGAATCATTTAGCATATATTAATTGAAAGTTTTGTTATTGGGACACATATTTAGAAGTGAAATTGATCAGATAAAATACATATTATGATACAATACATTTAATATATTTAGGTTAATTAGAACTAATGATTAATTAATTGCCAATGATTAGAGGATATTAAACTCGGTTACTTAGCAAAAAATAAAATTTATGGTATATATCATTGAAGAGAGATAAATGGGATGTAGTCATTTACAATATGTGCTAGAAAAATCTACTGCTTTGAAATTTATAAATTGATAGTCATTACTCTCTAGAATTCCAATGAATAAACTAGTCAAGATAAATATTATTTTGGCCTGTTTCCATTTATAAGTAATGGAATTACATGAAGACGTTAGAGTATAAATTTTCCGGCATTCTCACAAATGTATTAAAACTTTCTATTTAATCCAGAATACCCGAGATTTGATGTTTTTTTCAGAGAGAAATAGTTTAATTAGACACACAAGTCATTGGCTTTATGGAATAGTATCGTCCGAATTAGTTTAGCTACGCCCTAACAATTTGCCTGAAGCACAAAATGCACCCGAGAACATGAAATCAGTTTATACATAAAACAAAACTAAAATTACAATTCTCCCGAAGTTAATTATTATATGCAAATGAAATTCCTAACATTAAAGTTCAAATATGATACGTCACTGTGAACTTAACAGAAAATCATTTGTTCTACTTTAACCAATCCCGGGGGTTTGTAATGACATTAAAAATGATATTCAAGGTGTATTAAGATTAACCAAGACAGTACAACCAAAGTTTACCAGAATTGATATACCTTTATAAAAAGTTTGTCAAGTATATTGTTTGAAGTATGATGAATTTAATACCAAAATAGTAAACTTGATGAATTCAATTCTTGAATTTGGGACATGCTTAGAATAAAATGTAATCAAAATTGTTTTGTGTATGAAAGATTTTTTTGGAATTCACTCCAAAATGATCATTTTTGATCATCACATTGCCATTTATCAGGAAGATATTGATCTATACTTATTATAATATAGTTCCATTTAATCTAATCTAAATAAAAACTAATTCATTATTACCTAAAAAAAACATAGTTTTTACGAAAACAATATGCCCTTGATAAATTTTGAATGATCGAAAACCTACCTCATTATCTGATTCAACCAACACCTGGTCAAATTCACTTAGTGCTACTAAAAACATAATGGACGTAACATTTTCAAAGCAGTGAATCCACTTCCTTCGTTCTGATCTTTGACCTCCAACGTCCACCATTCTGTAACAAAACAATATTCAATTAGCTTATATTATATAATTACTTCTGAAATTCCAACACAGATTCCATCAAAAATCTCAAAACATCATGGGGTTTCGTACTTTCGTTAACACTAAAAATACTGAATACCATGCATCAACAATTGCTTGATGTGTTAGCTGTTAGAACTGATCACAGTTGCATAATGTCCAATTCCTTACATTATTACATGAAATGTAATGAATATGCATAGATAGGCAGTTGTATTTCATAAATAGACACTCCCATAAAACACCTAATCGTAAATATACCACATTATATTACTGCTGAACTATTTATTATAGTAACAGCCAATGTGACACGAGACATGCCAGATCGGAACTGAAAATGTTATTCGATCAAACACAGAATAAACTACCTTGAGCAGAAATCTAAATAAATATTTCAAAATTAGATATTCAATTTTCATCTATCATATTTCGTATATTACCAAACGAATACTAAATATACCAACAGTGATAACTGGAAACAACTGGAAGACTAAAGTAGCGAATTTTCTTCTGAATCTATTTTTCTATGAATAAGGGGGGATTTCAAAATCAGGAATTCCCATGGAACGCCTTCTGAAACAGTCTTCACGACTAATTAAGCTATACGTTACTTAAAAAAAGCCGACTTTTTGGTAACGATTTCTCTGTTGCTCAAAATATTCAATGTGAGCATTCAAATGTCTTGCCATACTAATTGATGAGTAAAACGCGCGGAAAATAAATAATAAATACCAGAATATAGAAATGATAAAAACTTGACGCCTATGTCTGTTTGGTGAGCTTTGTGTAAATTTCCTACAGGCTCTTGACGATCACAGTTGGTTTCACCCAGTGTGTGCAAGAGTCAGTGCCATGCCATAAAGTGGGCAAGTCACGTATTACCAGATATTCAAATACTTAAACGCCATTCGGATATTATTATATACAATTCGCTATTTAAACATTTTACTCGGCATTATTTTTCAAAAACCCCATGTTTCAATACACATTTATTGCTACAAAAATGGGGTCCTGATGCTAGTATCAATACACACAAGTATATACTTACCTAAAAATAATTGAATCCAAATCAAATGGATATTCTGAGATTCCTGTAGTCGGTACTCTTACCCTCAAAATATCTTGTTGTGTGGGAAGATAGTCTGGTTCTTTTATTCTTGAAAGTTCAGTAAGATAGCTAAAAATATACATAAGTATTCAGCAACGGAAAAAGAATAAAACACAAGGCTAATAATGCCTTATTACCAGCCATCGTTTTTACCAATATCTTAAAGCTGACTGCTCTTCAAAAAGCAGAAAGACTGCCCAGACTGAAAAAGTAAAGCTGAAAAAGTAAAACTCTGCCAATGAAGTTTTGCTTCTTGCGTGAAAAAAATCTAGAGCATGGTGGTTACAAGGGACTGGCTGAGAGCTTGAATATTTCCCTCCATGTATGAGATGTTACCCAAGATCCTCATGCACAGCTGATATGTTATGCAGCACAATGCAGCTAACACGAGTAATTCAGTTCAATTGGGATGTTCATATGAGTTTTAATCCACTTTTTTTCAAAAGCAAACAAACAAGGGATTGAATATAATTAGTTCATTCAAATACTGGGCTAGCTTAATTTTATTGCTTTCAATCTTTGCCAAAGTTCATGCTACTCAGCCAACAGAACAAAATTGAAATAAAATATGGAAAAACATGGACTCACTAATTTGTTGAATCTGATAACTGATATTCTCTTCGTCTGTCGTAACAATCATGAATACCTTGATCCGCCCACAATGATTCTATCGCGGGGACAAATTCTCTAAATTGGTTTTGCTCTGTTATTCTTTCTACATCCAAATCCAGCAGATCATATGCATATTGCTAAAAAAAAAGTAAAAAGCTTCAGCGTAACAATACTATCATCAACAATTGTAGTTTACATTCCAATAGAATATTATCATGTTCATGTAATTGAATATATACCGATTCGATTTATTGAGAGATAAATCGTACTTTTCCCAGCTTTTTGGCAAATAGTTTTGATGATAAAAGTTAAAAGTTTCGACTTTTTACTGGAACGATTTTCTGTTGCACAAAATATTCATATCAACGACCGAATTTGTGGACATAAAATGTGTGGTAAACTGCCAGGTTGTTATTAATTTATGATTACTATTTTCGTATTTACAGAATAATAAAAGTATTAATACTCTAAAATCTACTGGAATTTGTGGACTTGAAATGTGTGGTGAAGTGCCGAATATAATTAATTTTTGATTCGTATTTACAAAATAATAAAAGTATTAATACTGCAAAATACAATGGTGATCACGGGACTTAAAATGTGTGGTAAAGTGCCCGAATATAATTAATTTTGATTCGTATTTACAAAATAATAAAAGTATCATTACTCCAAAATACAACGGTGATCTCCGTACTTGAAATGTGTGGTAAAGTGCGTGAATATAATCAATTTTTGAGTCATATTTTCTGACTCACAAAAAAATTGTCCCAAGTCCGAAAAATAATTTATACCTCATCTCGCTTTATTGGCAAATAATTTGGATAATGGTTAGTATTTGAAAGTATGGACTTTTACTAGGATGATTTTGTGTTGCGCAAAATATTCAAATCCATGACCGATACCACTATTTAAAATGCCTTGCTGCATTAATTTAAATCTGGTAATTAACATAACTCATGGTTGTGTCGACTTAGAAAAAAATATAGGCATTGCTATTATACAACATATATCGCAGTAATCTGTGAACATGAAATGCCTGGTAATATAGACATGTTGTAGATGACAGTTATTCCATTGTTTATTGTATGAAAATTCCTTCATATACTATAGATAAAAGCTTCTTTCGATTTTATTTTCAAATGTATCCGAAATAGTGAACTATTCAGTATTGGCCATCCCTGGTGGGTTTGCAGATTGATCGTACAAGGAGTAGGGATGTCTATATGTAAGGGTCTTTGCAGCTCAGTGTTTATTTGTTTCAAATAATCAAAATAAATCTATGTTGCAGCTTTAATTCCATGGAATATATTATTTTAGACAATGTTTTTTAATATCTCAATCATAACAGATTGCATTTAGACTTAATTTGATATATATATATATTCATGATATGATGCACAAAATATAAGTCACACATATCACAACGAGCTTGTGATAGCATAACATTTTGTATTTCTGATAACTGATGCGTTTTTACTTAAAATTGACATTGAATAATAAATAAAGTTTGCTTATATACCAGAATCATATATCAATAAAAGGATATGTATATGAGTGAAATGTTGAGTAACCAGAATATTAGGGACTCTACACATGATGGTTTAAAACATACACAAGGTTGCCCAGTCAGCACAATACAATACAATGAACCAGTGTGATATCTACACCACAATGTGAGTCAACATTGATCAATGAGTTTTGCTTCCTGCTAATTTGCTTTTTTATTTGAGCATCCGACCTGCCCACATGACTCAACTACATAAGAACATTCATTAATAACTTCGAACAATTATAGCAAAGTTATTTTTTTGTTGTATTTCTCTCATACTTTAAAAACCATCAAGATTCGAAATTCCACCATATCAGGTCATAACACTGAACTATAATGTGCACCAAGATGGCGCAAAACCTGAACCCTAACCTGGTACATATACTATCTTGGTGCACATACTACGGGAGCAGGAGCACCCAAAAATCATGTCGTGTCGGTGGAATGAAAAACCTATTGATATATCAGTCTTAATTTGTTTCAAGGTTGATGAGATTGATACAGCCAGTTGTGCTCAAAATGCAAAGCTCCATATATTTCTAACAACCATTCTTAGCATTCCAACTGTTATGAATGTACAATCTGCAATATTCTACGCAAAGCTTTTTTAATGGTTCTAATGCTGATATTTCAACTTTTCATTAAATATCAACTTTTTTAGATTTATCGGACAGCACCATAAATTATGACATAGTATAGGTCAGAAGGTCATTTTTAGACGTAACAAAATGAGTTTGTTGAACGAAAAATTCACAAGTCCAAATTAAATCCATCAAATAAGTTCTTTATTTGCAACATAAGATGACATTTGATTGAAAACTAGCATGTGACTGATGGGGAACAACTTACCACCAAACAAATTTTTAAAATAAAGATTATCCCATTCTTTTAGCTCCTAATCATAATATGAGTGCTATATCCAAAAGAAATATCAGACATGGCCAGCATTCAAGTACACAAGACATATCTTGATGATAAAAGTTTGTGATATGTATTTAATTAATATAACTTAATTATATCACGTCTCTAGCTGATATGAAAAAGACTTTTGACACAAAATATTAATCTTTTGAAAAATAGTTGTTCAAATTTGTTTTGCTCAAAAATATTGAATTTAGAAAACCAGACACATTGCATGATTTATATATATTTACTAAGTATTCAACAGAAAAAAAAATGGTAAATCTCAACCTGTCATAACTAAGATAGATTGTTATAAAGGATTGCAGTACATTCATGCAATACTGTGTCAGGCATATGGAAAGTATAAATCAATAAATTTAACTATTGATCAATATCTCAGCACAACAATATAACATTATCTTTTTAAATTCTTTGCTGTCTCCCTAACAGCACTGAATTGAAGTCCTCAATGGGATCCATGTCAATGAATGATTGGGTACTCGTGAAGTATGTGAACCAAGATGGCGGACACCGGTATGTAGTATGTGTACCAGGTCAGAGTTCGGCCATAATTTTATTTCAATTTTCCTAATTTTAGTTCTAATACGTGTTGGAGGACTAGCCAAGTATCTCCCTTAGTATTTGTACCTGAAATTATGGCCTAACCCTAACCTGGTACACATACGGTACTTCGGGAGTACCAATAATTGTGTATAAGCAATCTCCTAAAATTCTTCTATCTATTCTTATCAATATTAGATTTTTTTTTTTTTTAGTTCAGACCTCATGATCTTATTCATATAAAATATTTTATTAGGAACATTACAGAAACCTAAAAAGCATGTTAAGTGAATCGTCCAACCACTTTGTATATCATGAGAAAGCAGTGGCGCAACCAGGCCGTTTTCAACGGGGGGGTCCGACCGGAATTTACACAGTGCAACCACGACGTAAGTCGCAACGCCACTAGGTGTCGCCCCGCTGAAACAATTGCTCGTGGTAAAAGGGAAACGCCATCGATTAAATCCCAGCCTTTCGCTTACCTTGCCCTCGTTCATTAACGGTGCTTCGCTATGTCTTACACCTCGTGGGTAAAAAAACGCCGTTCTTTACATTCCGGCGAATTGCTAACGAAAAGCTTTTAATTATTTTCAACGTTTCCCTCACTTTGCGCCTCGTGGATAGTGAAACACGGCTTGAATAAATTCCAGTGTTTCCCTCGTGCCGCGCGTTGCTCGTTGGGTGAATTCGTCAAGACTAAAAACAAAACGCACTTCTTGCGAACGGACCTTTTCCCGACCCTAACCCCAGAAAAATTCTAAACTAAACTGAAGCTCACCGGAAGACATGATGACAATTAAAATATTTGATTTACAACTAATTTTTGGAAACACAACTAAAAACTGATTAATTTAATGCAGGGATGTCCAAATCGAATTTAAATTCAAATATCGCAAACTTCAAATATTGTTTTTCGTGTTTATAATAATCCCGAATATGGCGCACATATCCTAGCGTCGTCGTCCATGTGTGGTTCGGCAATATATTACAGCTGACATGAAAGAATTTCGATAAACGCCGACTTGAAGAACTTATAAGACTTCGAGGACGTTTGTGGTTGAAAATATTTTCTTATTGTGTATTTTAACTTAGTCGAGATGGTTTAGGCGTCCTCGGCAAATTGTGTCTTAATTAGTTGTTTTCATCCTCAGTTTCGATAGTGACCGAACATAACAGGAAATTTTTTCATTTCTTGTAATTTAGCGCGTATAAAATAGCTCTTAAATAGTATTTAATATCTATCGCGGATTTCGTCGGCATCCGGCGTTGATGACAACATCGTTCAGTTTAAGTTAGTGGTATTCAATTACAAACAAAAATACATAACAGCCGACATGAAATATTCAAATCAGCGCAGAGTTTAAAAATAAAACATGTTTTATGGTCTTAATTAATATGCACATAGAAAGAAGAAAGGACAGAGAAATAACGACTAAAAACTAAGAACGGTATGGTATGTTTGTGTACTTTTGTTTACCATCGTCATCATAATCAAATTAGGTAAACCCGATTCCCAAATTTCCGTCCGCCAATAATGGAGAATAAAGATGGAAAAACGTGTTTTACTTTTTGAGTCGGCGTTGATTTAAATTTTTCATGTTATGTGTTATAATTTTTTGATTATAAACCAATACCTCCAACTTAAAATGAACGATATTGTTATCAACGACGTCGGGATAACGATAAAATCTCCGATAAAAATAATATTTAGAAGCTATAACTGAGGATGAAAACAATTAATTAGGGCAGGATTTGCTTTTGAGTTTATTGCCGAGGCGCACAACATATCTTGACTAAATTGAAATATACGATAACAAATGTAAAAAATTTTCAACCAAAAACATCCTCGACGTCTTATAAGCACTTCAAGTCGGAGTTTATTGAAAACCTTTCACGACGACTGTTAGTTATTGCCGTGCCACACATGGCTGTTTTCGATTGCGATAAAAAATGAAATAATTGTGAAATGTTTTTAAATCAGAACGTGGACGGACGGGGGCAGTAGGATGTGTACGGCGTTTTCGGCCTTCCATATGTAGAAAATCTTAGGTTAATCGAAGCAATATTTTTCCGAAAATAATTTTCGTATCCAGATCTTCAGAGTTTCTACTGCATCATTATAACATGAAGACGGGCGGCGTTACATTGCGTCAAGATGATGAAGCACGAGAATATTCGTCACAAGAGAGAGAGATAGCATTATGCTATTGTCGCTTTCAATTCGCATCGACAGCGCGCGATTTCTACTTTTTTGAGGTAACATATCTCATTTTGGAATACAAACATATACGCGGGGATAGCGATTATTACGTAACTAACAGCAAAAAGTATGATTGAAGTCGGGCGGTGTTAAATTACGTCGAGGTGATAAAGCACTGGAAAAAAGTAGTTTTCACCGGATTGTTATGACCGTAGAACGACGTTGTTTGAACGTAGAACAATAATAAAAAAAAAAAGAATTTCAAACGGGGGGGACACGACCCCCGTAACCCCCCCGCTGGTTGCGCCACTGTGAGAAAGCTACTTACCATATTGTCTGGATTTGTGTACTCTATATGAAGAGTATCCATGGCTCGAACCATATTCTGCATAGATGTCAAAATGTTTTGAAACACCAGTTTAATAAAAGCTCTTCTGTCATCCTCATTGTATCCTTTACCATGAATAATTCTCATCTGCTTGATGAACGTGCTTTTCCCGCTTTCTCCCGTGCCTGCAGAAAACAGAAGTTTGATATATGGTATGAATAAACGACTGCTAGTGTTGGTGACTTATGATGATGAATCTTGGATATTAACTCAGGGTATATCAAGCAATATACTTTGAGATTATTTCAGACATATTTTTGCAGCACATACTTGCATTTTTGTCAGTCAGAGCCCTGTTGATAGCGTAAAAGTACAATATAATATGTATTTGGCACGTTTTACAGAATATAAATATTTAACAGAGCTTTTAAAAATTGAAAAAAAAAATTAAATACATGCAAGCATTATTGCACATGCAGCAAAATCAAAATTTTCCATATTTCTGATAATCTTATGGACCCCAACACCTGTCTAGTTTAATCAAACATTTACCAAGTAGTAGGAGTTTCAATTCTCGTCTAGAATCTTTTTTATGCTGTTTGAGCATTTTATCAATTTCAGCATTAATTCGCTCCTTTTGCCTTTGTTCTTCCGACTTACAACAAAACTCCATAATTTCCAACATTTGCATCAATTTGATTTGTCAAATACCAAGCCGTAGCAGTAACAAAAGAACATACGGTATAATAGTTCCGAGTCTGACTATGTCAGCCTTATCTCTGTTCAACTATAAAACCAACTCGCAATGGAGTATAAAATGAGAAGACCCGGTCTTTCCAGTCACTCAACGATAAGAACATATATAAACCTTTGTTTCAGCCCATAATGAAACAACATACTCGCAAACTGAGAAAATACAAACAGTATTGTTATGCAGTGCATAAATCCCAGTAGTATTTCAATGTTTTATTGATCCTTTACTAACTGCATTATAATAAGACTTAGCAGCTTTGTAGTGTACACACGCATGACAAAGATGTCAGTTGCATTGCAACATACATAGGAATTTATCCTCCAAAACATCATTGAATAGTCTCAATGACGAGATGACAGATTAATATTTATAATTAGCATGCACTACCGGCTCATACTTATGTGATATATATATGTATTCCACAAAATTGATTTCTATATTTCTTGAAGCATGCAAAATATAGCAACAAATCACAAAGTAGAAATACTAAAATGTACAAATTTATAATTTTTCTGCACAGAACTGTTAAATTACATTCTTAGATTCTTCACACAGTCCCTACATAACTTAAATTCTACTTGACAAAAACTATAATACAACAGTCACTAAAGCTAACATTCCAATTATATAAACTGAAGACTTAACATAAAGATATAGGTTGAACTAATAAAAAACAAACACCTTTATTGAAGCACATAATTGAAATATGCTTTTAAAACTTTCATTTAACTTTTTCCCAAAATGGAAAATTATACAAATCAATTTCCCTACTATGAAAACAATACCATAATGCTCACACTATTTTCAATATGATAGAATTTGGCTTTATGGGAAACACTATATTCGAACTTGCTGAAGCTTCCGGCACAGCAAGCAGTGAAAGAATTAACAGTGTAATGGTCATGAGTTCACTATACGACATTTGAATTTAATACAGTACATAGCCCCAGGCAATACAGAACAATTTTACACAGAGCACAACTTAAGATAGACATTTCAGTTTAGAGAGCTTATTACAGTTATGCATTATATTAATACAACTGTTTCCTCTTGGATTTATTTAATTACTCAATGGCATATTATATTAATACTTGATGCTTACGTGTAGAACAAACCTATAACACAGGAAAACTAATTTTCTACAATTGCGCATAAGTGTCTAATAATACAACCTGAAGAGAAATGAACTAAAAACCATTTGACTCAACAATATTTTTAAATAGGAATTGTAAAACAGTATACCTATGGTACAAACATTGAGACTAGAGATGTCAAATTGAACATGATTGAAAAAAACAATTATGTTAAAACGATTGTATATGCTTTTTTAGGAATTTAGATTATCAAAGTTATTGCTGAATAAAACTCAAAACAACCAAAGCATAGACATCCTTAGAAGAAGAATCCTTTACAAATGAAAACATGCTGCTAATCTTTTTAAAAAGCATTATTTAATCTACACCTGACTCGTATAGTTTCAAACATCTTAAAAAATGAGGCATTTTCAGAGAGTCTATCCAAAAAGTGCTTATTGTAGAAAAAAGGGAAAACAGGATAAAAGAAAAACTCTAAAACATCTTATGACACATTCTCTCCACTCTTCAAGGCCAGCGACAATTGAGATTGGGCATCGGATTTCAGTTTATTTGTGACCTAACCAAAAATATGTGCGATTACACAATGTAGCATGTAACTAGACAATTGAACTGATAAAAGCAAGAAATGGAAATTTTTATACCTCTCGAAAACAATGCTGAAATTTTTTTATGATTGCTTATACAACAATGTAAACTGTTTTGCTCCATTAGCATATAAGAATTTCTTTGATGTGATAAAAACTAACAATTACTACCCTTATACATCACAATTTATATTTGAAAAATTCTTACAGACCAATTTGAGTAATACCGAAAAAATTTGTCTTCAAATCTTAACCAAACCGAACTATGTAACACAAAACAGTTGATCTTTAAAAATTAAACAGGGCCATACAAGGATTATTATGATCAAGCTACATTATAATCAAAGCCTTCAGATAAATCAGCATTAAATGGGAATATTATGAAATCTTGATTAATATCAATTCATTAATGGAAACTGTCAGTATTTATTGTATTGTTCAAGCCAAATTTTTTAATCAAAACAATTGAACAAAATTGTAAAAAGTACTATTTTCAATACTAATGAGATTGGCATTCAGGAGTTACGCCTACTTAATTTCTTTTTTTGCCATGTAAATGTAATTTGAATCTTTAATTTGTGTCGCTTCAGTAATTAATTACACAATTAGTGATGTAATCTTGATAGAAGCCCGTAAAGCAATTGATCCTTTCTTTCACTGTTTCATTATAGACTATAAACACGAACACAGACTAGGTATGTGCAGCTGTTACTAGATTTCAAGTGTATTGATTAAACCTGTTGTGGCATTATTACTAGATACAACAATTGGAGAAGACACATTTAATAAAAACAACTTGGATATGTTCAACTAAACATGTTTATCAAAATGAAAATCACATAAACATTGGAAGATTTTCAAAACTATGCAATATAGTGGGATGTAATATGCAGAAACCTAATAAATTGTCTATGACTAACAATGAACTTTTGAATTGTCTCTAACATTACTCTATTTGATAAGTCAGCAATAAAAACGGATGCTCGAATGCTGACATGACTAGATCACAAGCACATTATATAAAATAGATATATTCAAGCAATAAAACTGAAATTTATGAAAAAGATATCTACACGCAAAAATTCAACGACTAAACTGAATCATTATAAATACTATGTGCAAATCAAATCGAGCTAGAAAATTTCCCGACGACGATATAGAGATTTCATTTTGGACTGTTTGTGATTCATGGATGATAATTAATAGACGAAATAGCATCAGAAGAGTGGGAAAAAAGAGAAAAAACACAATGAGTAATAACCAGCAGCTTTGAATAAAGCATATATGCGATTCATAAAATGTTGTTAGGTCAAGATTTCAAATTAGCATAGACTGCATGTTATGGTCACAAATGTGATTCCTAAATGCAGAATTGTGGATAGCATAATATACTTCCTATTGAAATATACAGTTTATTAGATAACTATATTGTGGAAATCATCAATATATAGACGATTCACAACATCACCAATATTAGGCCCTCGACACTTGTATGAACTGCTAAAAATGTAGCGATGCAATTGTCAGAAATTAAAAACAAAATGTTCATCAATTCATGCCATGAAATTTCAAAATAATAATTTTATTTAAGACTAAGATTCCCAACATCTTTCAATTATTCTCCTTTTTTGCCTAATTTTTGGTCAATAACATGAGATTTCCGCAAATGTAAGTTATCATGAAAAAACACAACCATATAAAAGCGAGATACATAGAAAATATGAGAGCTCAAATCATCAAGAATGCGACTATTAACAATAAAGATTTACAATTCTTTGCAAATAATATTACATAGTTTGATATCAATCTTTCGAAACCATCAAATTATGCACTTATGCAAAGTATTGGTATGATAAGACATTATTAAATAAACCATGATCGTTTTTCAGACTAGTTCATACATATTGTTCTCCATTTATGAACATTTTTATTCATTGTTCAGTTATATGTGCACATGCACCTAAAATAGCCTGCGGTTGGTGCCAGACTTATCCAAAACAAGAGAATGTAAAACAGTAAAAAGCAAAATTTTGCTATATTCAACAACCTATGAGAAATAGTGGGGTTTACCAATGTTTTGACCTTGTTTCTCCTTCTTTCATATTATATTCAACTACTCATCGGTAGGTCACGGCGTTTTCCTATTTCGCTTTTCCAAAAATAAGAAATAAATCGTGTTGCAATTAGTGCGCTTCTTTTAGAAATCAAAATATTTGCGCTTCCAGTCCAATAAATTCACTTAAAATCAGATGCATTGATGCCACCACCTGCTTGGGTATACTCACAAGAGATACGCAGACAAATGAACACAGAACAAGCATTTGAAACAAACTAAAAGACAAGAGATAATCTCACATGACATGACCATAAAAACTTGAAAAAATACCAAAATAAGTTACTTCACTACTAGTATGCAAGTACAGTAGCAACATGGTACTAAAAGCTGACATTAGATTTAAAAATTCACAGATATAACCTAGCAACCTTCAGGACATAACAACAACATCTATGCTATTAGTAGGAAACATTTAAACATGACTGATTAAAATATATTGTTATCCAACATAAACATGGCAGGGGGTTACTTTCGTATTTCTTAGCCTTTGTTGATCATGTTAGATTATATACGATATATAATTTAATTTTTGTATTATGAACAACGGCATAGCACAAAAAATGACAGAATGACATAAGAGCAAACACACAGGATGGATTCTCAGTAAAAAATTACTTCAATAAGGGCAGAAAGAGCCAAAGTTGACTGGAGCCGCCACCTTGGCACTCTGACATTATTCAGTTTTGTAATGTTAATATTTAGCGTGGTTTACCAGTTTTGCGATCACAGCGAAGTCTGCCGTCATTGAAAACTTCCAAATAAAAAATACTGAGAATGGGTGTTGTAAGTTTGAACACCCAATCCAACACCCGCAAACTACCTTGCAACTAAATCTCGACAAAATTCGCATAAAGCAACAAAATTGCAAGCCAAGTGCAAGAATTAAAATGACAAGGAATCCAAATCATCAACTGCAGAACTTTCCTTCAGAAAAGTCGTCGAAATTAAAAGAGAAGGGATAGTTAGTTGAGAAACTTGGCACAAACAGTAGGGCATAGTTCTGTGATTCCAAGATGTCCCGACATAATATGGTTGAATAAAAAACACTATTTGTCTCAACAATAATTCAAATCAATCGGGATGTGCGTCACATGATCGAAATTGCGTTTTTTGCTTAAAACTCTCGGGTCTTGTGTTGTTTCGTACCACAATAACTTCTAGTGGGCGTGGCGCAACAATTTTTTTTATATGTCATTCCTAACTCCCACCTGACTACGTCATTCAAAAATTACATCACTACGATGTCACAGTGACATAATGAAGCCTGCCAAAATATATGGATGATCACTCAAAACGCGCAGATGATTAACTGAAGTCGAGCAAGCTCTATCTCTGATTTTCTCGTTGTATTCAATTCGTTATCGGCGCA